AATCGACTCATCGACTCGAAGGAACCTCATCAGTCGGTCCATTCGTCGTTTTTACTTTTTTGTGGTGCTTTTACGAGGCCACTGGACCTCTACTCGGCCTATGCAACGTGTTTTATATTAGTTGTGCTTGAGTTTTTCGTTTATATTGTATATGTTGTAAATGTATTGTAAATGTAATATATGGTGTTTTTCCCGCCAACGGTGGCGGCTTGCGGCCTGCGGTTTGGTGAGGTTTACAGCCAGATGAGATCACCTACAGGTCGGCCGCCTTCGTGTTGTCCAAGGCGAGTGGTGGGTAGGAACTGGTGGGCGGGCCACCAATCTTGTGGATTCGGCTTTTTTTGGAAGAACACCTATGCAACTATAGTATCCATTGACAGTTTTTTTTTTTGAGACTCAAACCCCTTAAGTCCTTGGTGGGCTTTTGTCCTAGCATCTTTCACCTATAGAGTATGTCCGGATGGAACATGTGTATCACACTTGTGCCAAGGACCTCAAAAAGATTGATCCATAAAGTGTGCTGATCTATTGTGGATGTCTGAGGGTTTTGGATCAAGTCTCTAGTGAAGTAATGTGGAGTAGCGTTAACGATTCATCTTGAAGCCTTAGCGCAGCCATGACTATGAGGGTTTCATTTCGGCAGCTGAATGGCGAAGGGATGGATCTTGAAATCATGCCAGATATCAGTGGTCGAGAACTCAAGGAGCGGATCAAAGAGTGCCAGCTTTGGGATGATGAATTGACGCGTGAGACCATGAGGGTGGACATTGTTGTGGGGGGCAAGTAGATTGCTAAAGAATGATGAGACAGCTGCAGATGCAGGCCTTTCTCCAGAATCCGAAGTGACAGTAATCTTCAGGCAAAACAAGGTCACCTGCTCCCATATTGGCTGGGTGTCTCCATTTAACCAGATTGGCTGGGTGTCTCGATTTAACCAGATTGGCTGGGGGTCTCCATTTAACCAGTTTCCTGATGACATTGACTTGCAGTCTCTGTTCGTGGTTGAAATCCCAAGCGGTGCCACTGAAATTGTCCACCATGTAGCTCGCAGCTCGCTGGCGAGTGTGACCATCGCCGACTCTGTTGCACAGATT